CGCGCGCGCGCCTACGATCTGATGTTTACAGACGTTTACTGCTAATTAAGAAAATCATTAAACAGCTGTCAAAGACAGCCTCCCGGGCTCATCTTAGAAATCCTACACACGACTTCTGGCTATATCATACTATTTTCCTTTAAGTTTCAAAGTCTTCTTCCACTTCAGGTAGATTATCCTTCACATGAGTTCTTCTTTTTTCGCCGTTGCAAGATTTCATATCGGTTGAATATTTCTTTTAAATGTGAAGTGAAGCAACCTTTACTTCTCCGAAAATTGTCTTCTTTATCTTAGTTTCTATCTCCTGCATTCTCAGTAGCCGCTCAACACATCAAATACAAGCTCTTAGGTAAAATTCTCACAAAAGTAGAAAAAATTCCACGCGCCGCCATCTTTGTTTTGAATTTTCATCTTTGACTCGCGCTTCTTTCACAGGTTTCTCACGCACGCGTCACGCAAGAGTGACCTGTTCCCCGCGCTAGAAAACTGGTACGAGCCACCTTAAATAATCACTGAATTGGCCAAGCCGCATATTCGCAGCACTTTTTCTTTACTTGATTTATTATTGTAAGTGAAGTCGCTCTCCCATAAGCCTGTTGGCTTCTTGGGTCTCTTTGCCTTCTAACTGTTATCGTTGTAATTAAATATTTTTATTGTTAAAATAAGGAAAATAAAAAATGATGATGATGATGAAATCATACAATGTTTCAACCGCAATCGACCGTAATGCAAATTGATTTTATAGCGCATGTTGAAACTTGACTTTGTTGGCAGTTCAGTGCAATGATAATTTTCAGAAATAACGTGGAATACGAGCCGATTTTTAATATTGTCCGATTTTATCTTTGAAACTTGTGTCGTTGTTTCACTTAATTTCTTCTAAAACCATCCTAAGTTACCCCTTAAACAATTTTGTTAATTTTACAACTCATGAGAAATTAAACTGACAAACCCGAAACATTTTGTAAAGGGACGTGGATCAAACATTAGGGAACCACCTCGTCCAAACTTTCCTCCTTATACGGTCACCACCACTCGTTATATATTTTCCTATTTAAAATAACGGGCTTCTGGGACTGACTGGTGTTTTATCAGTTTTACCTTAAGCTTGTAGCAAGTACAGGTCGCATTTCTATTTAATGTTTAGCAAATTCGAAATTATTTTATATTATTTTTCTTTACAGCGCTGTATTATTGTAATAGTCTGTTTCTATTCAATTAAGTTCGCGTTTTTGCGTGTACGAATTATGTAACGCCGTTAGCTATTTATTTTCGCCAGTATACGCGTTGTTTTTTTTGGATAGTTTCCATAACCAATTGAGTTCAACCAAGTCAGTCCTTCCTTTAGTTCTTGGCTAGCGCCTGTTGCTCTATTTTAAGAGTTTTACTGCCGGACCTGGTTACGCCACAAATTGAGTTCGTTTAATTTCTATTTATATTTGCTTATTTTTTTTGTCGTTGTTTTTGTTGTTGTTTTATTTTGTACTTAGATGTTTATATTAATTAATTATTTTCAGTCGAATCACAGACACCTAAAAATCTTTACATCTAAATACAAGTCCACATGGCAAATAAATGAAATATGCATTCGGTTTGTGGCATTAAACGTGTAGTTACTTATCTACATAGCTTTTCTCTTCCTTATGAGCTTCAGTTTCTCATCCAATCACTATGTTTTACTCTATGAAACCCCCAAAGTGTCTCCTCGATGGAGCTTTTGGTAATACACGCAATCCCAGGCTAGCTTGAGCTATGTACCCTGGATGCGCAGTTAGCAGAGCACAATAACCTGAGCTTTTGCCTGAAACGCTCATCCAGCAGAGCATAAATATAAGGGTTGATGGCAGAGTTCAACATGATCAAGGTGTGAGAGACAACGTCTGAGACTGAGCCAAAGATGAAGATTTCAAGGTAGTTCAAGATGTAAATCAGCGATCTGTGACCCAGCAAGCTCCAAATATGGCGCTGACAGTGATCATACTCAGTGTGACTCGCTTCCGCACCTTTAGGACTCCCTGAAAGAGCAAAAGCAAACTTAAAGGGCAGTGGCTTTTGGCCTGACAGGCTGTTGAGCTCCTAGGAGACCCTCAGGATCAGAAATAAACTTTGCCAAACCTACCCAGTCGTCATAATAACTCAATTGTAGTGATGGTGAGCCTTTCCTGAGTGCTACTAGCATTATTTTTTGCCTAATGGTATAAATCATACCCTGTTTTCCAATGATATTACAGCACTAACTAACTAACTATTATTATTATTATTATTATTATTATTATTATCATTATCATTTGCCAACTAAAGAGTAGCATTGTATCGCACCAATGATTCTAATTGGTCTAGAAGGCAACTGAGAAATCTAACATCTGATCATTTTAACCCAAAGTCTTACCTTTCGTTGATAGGTGAGTTCATTCTACTCGTTTCATTTGAACCACAACATGTAAACAAGTTTTGAATAAACAACAGTCATCACTAACAGAGGAATTAGAGCCAAAAGTACCAGCCATATTGTTTCGTATAGCGTACCCTTCCACCGCTCGTGCCAGTTCCATTTACAGTAGCCAGTTGTTTTATCAAACGTTGTAACCAGGAAGATTGGTATGCTAAAAAGCGCTCCAATTTAATTCAATTCAATTTAGTCCATTTTTACTGCATCAAGTTTTGCAGTGGAGTCGGACTAGAAAGGAACATAGGAACCATTCGTGCTAGTCCACCCTCCAACACATCCCACCCCAGGGAAGGACATCCATCACTCAGTAATCTCGTGGGTGGGAAATTAACGTCTCCTACCCCAACCCTGCAGGAGACGGGACCTCCATTTATTCGTCCCTATCCGAGACCACTAGAATATCTAACCATTTCTTGATGTTATAGAAAGGTAGCAAATTCTTCTCAATCATTTTAAGACCCTGAGTGTTGGTCCGGCCGGGGCTCGAACTATCGACCTCCCGCACAACAGTCCAGCGCTCTATACATTGAGCTAACCGGGAATGATCCAACAAACGGGAATAACAACCTGAAATTAACCCATAGAGGGTTAGACACCTGCATACTCATTATGAACAGGGACGTTTCCCAACTAATTTGTCCGTTAAGGACAAATCGGAGGAACACGAACTGGACATCAGACCTTATTATTTTGTCGCCTGTGTGTTACATATAATTCTGTTCACAAACCTTTACTTTCCCCATGGTAAGTATTGCATTGCAACCAACAACACTTGTGACAGCGCAGAAGCGTTCAATTGATATGGCAAAAAGAGTCAAAGAGGACGAGGCTGCTCCAATCCATGCTGCATTACCACCTGTGAGAATTATACACAGCATTGATCCGATGGCTTCGTCTGGATGGATGAATGTTTTTTTCAGAATATGATTTGGTGCTATGAATATCGCGAATAAGATGTCTGAGACCGCCAAGTTGACCACTAGGTAGTTGATGGGAATCCTGCAGAATAAATGCTTATTAATCTAGCTTTCCGAAGGAAACACCCGAGGTATAAATTCGGCTTTGATTTTTTCTTCCGTTCAGTCACAAAACGCAGTCCCACCACAGCGCATGCGTGAAAACTATGCGCATGCGTGAGAACTATGCGCATGCGTAGAATGAACTCTAGAGCGCACGGTTTAAAGCAATGGCTGCCTTCGTGGACAATAGAGTACCGAAGCCCTGACGTCACGTTTCCATGGTTGCATTTCTGCTGGATCTAAACAAACTCACATGTGTTTAACATGGCGGCGTTGTCGATAACATCGTTCGCAAAATACTTCTCAGATGAGCCTAAATCTTTAAACCGTGGCGAAAACCATTACCAATCTGGACACGTTCTATCTTTTTGCTATTGTGATGGAATTATCAGAGGGTCAGTGCAAGCGAGCATGAAAAGTACGACGTATAAAGTCACAGTAAGTGTAAAATTTCTATTACTCGATGTCTATCCGTTAACATCGCCAAACCAAAACTTATTTAAATTAAGTGATTTCGAATCTTCGTTTAAAGGAAATCTTGAAAAGTAAGCTTATATTTCTTTTTCTCTTTCCTTCGCAGATATATCTTCAAGAAAACGAAATACGTTCCACAGAATGCGAGTGCCCTCGTGGCGGTTCAAAGTGTAGTCACGCTGTAGCTCTGTTCCTTCATGGCTACCACAACTTAAGTAGAACTGACATCGAATGTCAGTGGAAGAAACAAAAGGCATCCGAGGTGGTTAAAACGGTAGAAGATCTGTATCCACCCAAAGAAACTAAAGTCCTAAAACGAAAAACTACAGATGAGGACAGAGAATGGCTACGGAACAAGCTGAAGAGATACGGCGAGTTCACAGGAATGTTATGGCTTTTGAGCCCCGAACCTGACAAAGAGAATCGTCTGCCGATCTCCACAGTCGAAGAAATCATTTTAGAATAGAGTACCGAAGCCCTGACGTCACGTTTCCATGGTTGCATTTCTGCTGGATCTAAACAAACTCACATGTGTTTAACATGGCGGCGTTGTCGATAACATCGTTCGCAAAATACTTCTCAGATGAGCCTAAATCTTTAAACCGTGGCGAAAACCATTACCAATCTGGACACGTTCTATCTTTTTGCTATTGTGATGGAATTATCAGAGGGTCAGTGCAAGCGAGCATGAAAAGTACGACGTATAAAGTCACAGTAAGTGTAAAATTTCTATTACTCGATGTCTATCCGTTAACATCGCCAAACCAAAACTTATTTAAATTAAGTGATTTCGAATCTTCGTTTAAAGGAAATCTTGAAAAGTAAGCTTATATTTCTTTTTCTCTTTCCTTCGCAGATATATCTTCAAAGGCCTTCACCAAATTAACAATGAAAGTAGTAAAGGATTGTGGCCTTTGGCTACACAAGTCTGGTGTTTTGGGTGCATCACCAGATGGACTTGTTGATGACAATGCGATCATTGAAGTCAAATGCCCTTACACACATCGCAATTCAACAATTGAGGAGGCTGTTAAAGACCCTAAGTTCTGTTTAGTAAAGAGAGATGCTGGCTATTGTTTAAAACAATCCCACCACTACTGGCATCAAGTCCAGGGTCAGCTGTTTATAACTGGGAAGCAAATCTGTTACTTTGTGGTTTGGACAACAATGCAAACTGTTGTGTTGGCAATCCAGAAAGACTGCACATGGGAACCAAATCTTCTTTCACTTCAAGAATTTTATACAATTCACATGATTCCTGCACTTGTTGATGGTGGTCTTTAAATTTTAAGACTTTGTTGTAAAATTAATGTAGTTTTTTATAAAGTAATGGATTTGATAATACATACTTTTAGAAATATTTTTTAAAATATTGTTTTATTTGGTAAAATCATTGCAACTTTTACAACAAATATGCAGTAACTGAAGGGTGTATATAAAATAAAAATGTTCATGTTAATCTTAAAATTGTTTTTCTTTAAACAGCAACATTTGCTGGGGTTTTTACATTAGCTACTTGAGACAAGAAAATGATAGATTCATTGTAATCGTATTTGAATACAGTTGGTTATCTGAATTCATAATAAGACTAGCATAAGGGTGTGGTGGCAGGAATACTGATCAGAAATAAATAGTTTGTCATTAAGTTGTGTATCATGATTCCTTGTATCATGAGCAAGTAAAATAGGGTTACAAGCTTTTCACAGATCACACAACACCTGTCCACTCTTTGTATCAGAATACAGTTAATTGATTAACTATGATCAGACAATGCCAATGTATACCAGGCCTTAGTAAACTGATGTAAGATGATCAATATTTCAATTAAAATGACTAATCAAAGTCAACAGTGTCATTGGTTTCCTTAATTAATGGGTTTTGTAAATTAACTAAAGCACCACATAGCTGTATAATCTTACCAGAGAGGGATCGCAAGTATGGTGGCACAAAATTTAAAATTTTATAGTTCTTCAATCTAGCATTAGCACGTTCTACGTGTATACGACATTTTGCAATGCTCTTTGTTAACTTAACTTCACTTTCTGTAAATTTTCCATTGTTCAAGAATGGGGGAATGTTCACATATACACCATTAGGAACAATATCATTTATCAAAAACCCTTTATCCGCAAGTATAATATCCCCAGCAACAAAATGCTTTAATATTCCTGACTTTTGAACCGTTACTTTATCTGATACTGAGCCAGGGAAAAGTTTACTTACATAAGTTATAACCGCGTTGGGTGCCACACCAACAATTGTCTTAAAAGAATTCATACCCCTGTACGTTGAATATGTCAATTTTTGGTCACTCATAAGCTTAGGTGTAGCAACCTCGATATCGGTGCAATCTATTACCATACGACAGTCTCCAAATAAGCTAAATGAGCCTGGAAGTGAAGTTTTGTTTTTTTGTCTGGATGGAACAGCTATCTCCATTTGATCTTCATATAGAATTTGGTGCAAAACATGGATAAATGTTGTCACAATATTCGCTATTGTAGCAGTACTGCAACTAAAAAGTTCAGCTAAATGTAAGTTATGATAATTATGTCTAATCTTCATCAATGTTATCAATATTTGATCTTCAAAAGATATCTTGTCTACTTTCCAGCCACACACGTAAACAATATCGTTGCGGTATCTTTCGGCATATTCGACAACAATGTGGAACATTTCTTTGTTTGGGAGGCCAGTTTCCATGTTGATTACCTTTGAATCCATGTTAAAAGAGCTGTAGTTTCTTTTTAAGTAGCTTTCTTTTTCTTTCAACTCGGATACTTGGGTCTTTAATGTCCCTAGCTCTGCTTGTAGCAGGATATTTTCAGTCTGCAAAGTAGTGCATTTCATTTGCATCTCCTCGCAACTGAGCTCGCAAGGCTCGTTCTGGTTGCTCTTCGTCGAAGATTCTGAAAGGATCTGCTCGATAGTCGTTGTCTCTGGGACTTCAGTTCTTTGCTTTTTCCTTTTTGGAGCATTTCGAGATTCAAATAGTTTGTCTTTATTCCAGGAAAAGACCTCGGGGCCTTCTTCTTTACTTCCTCGGAAATGACAACTACAAACTCGAGCGCCTTTGCCAGGTTCACGATCAGCTCGTCTGGAGAGAGAAAACGAAGGTTTTAAACTTTAATCATAACGTAAAAAAAAGCTTTTTTTCTCTCTAGAGGTCTTTCAAAGGTATAATCCACAGGTCAGTGCACTTTTGAGTGGTTAAATAAAACCATCTTCCGCGTAACTATAACCGACACGTGGCCGTGCATCATGGTGGTCATTGTACCAAAAATCAACCTACCTTATTAGAGAAATCCATTTTCTTCTTTGAGCAGGATCTTTGGGGAAACGGTAAAAGCTGCAATTGTGACTTTCTGACTGATGATTGCAGTCGGGAACGAAGCATTGGCCCATTTTATGATGAGATGTAACGAAAGACGCCAAATAGTGTTTAGATCCAGCAAAAATGCTACCATGGTAACATGACGTCACACTTCGGCACTCTATTCCTTGCTCGATGTACGCGAAAGAAATTCGATGGCTATTACGCTCAATATACATAAAAAGTCACACACCGTTATCAGTAGACCCACACTAAAACTTGTGGAGCGTTTTGGGAACGGGTCGGTCCGCAAACTTTACGAGAGATAAATTCTTGAGCGATCCTTTACAAGTGAACCTTCTATCGAGGAATATCAAGGGAAACCTGCTATAACAAACGAGCTATCTCATATTATGTTTGCATGTAAACACAACCGTGTATTTAGACGTGATCGATAGCCCTGAAGAATACAAGAAGCTGCTCTGAAACGTCTCAGAAGAAAGGGCAGAAAACTGAAGGATTTGTTTTTGAGCGTATTCGTATGCTGGATTCCTCTTGGTTAAGTCGTTATGTGAAGGTTAGAAGAGTTACATAGAATGTTTGTAAGCTTAATACGAAGAGGATAAGATTAAATAAAGTTACACCACATGAGAAGAAGTATTTGTTGAATTGGTCTGAGGGTGTATCAAAGGATAATTAGCAGGTCGGTATTTATCAATGTTTTCTTGTAATAGACCCACGTGTCTTTGTAAGAGTCAGACACACGTATCAAACTATTGTAAATTTCAACTGAGTTCAGATATAGAGAAAAACCCTTGTCCTACTCCAATGTACATTAACCCTAGCAAAACTGAATAACGGCACCATATAGCCAAACTAATGAGTTGGTATTTGGACAAAATTCAGGACAATGTGTTGCAATCAGATTATGCTCTTTGATTTACAATAACAAACAAGGAATCAATTCTGCTAATGATCTGGTGTCAATAATCAATAGTGGAAATCAATTGTATTCAAGTTTGTCCTAGTTAGCCAGACAATCATTTTTAATGCAGACAGAATTACCCACACTTTTAAATGTGTTCGAGACTGACTATGAACTTCAATACATTGAAAGTTACACTGGACATAGTTATTTATCAAGAAGCTACAATAGAAGGATACAAGTACTGTACCTCCTTAGATAGAGCCTATCAATCACTTATATCCGAAAATTTCAACAATTTTGTCTTGGCAATAGAATATGCTGCAGTAGCCATCTATTGGGAAGGCAATGTTGGCTTGAAAATATTCGATTCTCATGCAAGGGATATTTATGGTAGAAGCCATTCTCAAGGTACATGTGTGCTGCTTGAAGTATCATCACTGAATAGCTTAGTACATTATTTTCAGACTATACATAATAATGATATCTTTGAGTTGAAAGGGGTTAAAATTGGTAAAGTTCAAAATAGTGCCCATTCTCAGAGTCATGCCTGTGAAACCAGAAAGTTCAATGAATTGTGCTGTGGCTGTCTATTCACTCTGCTACTACTAAAATCATGTAGTTATTGGAATTCAAACACCTTATCTAATGTTATTCAGTATGGCAATAAATTATGAAAATTCATCTTTGAACAAGTATTTACTGTCAGGTGATTTGCCAAAAACTGATGCTTGTGGAAGTGAAGTAAGTTTAGATCTTAAAGTGATTACAGTGAAGGAATATTGTCTGATTCAGTTGACAGCAAATCAATTGTCGAAAGTCTTGTAAGAAATAATAGTTGAATGCACAGGATTTTTTATGTGGTTTTCAGATATTTGTATGACGTGTATTCTTAAACCTACAAAAAGGTCAAAATATGTGTATTCGTTCCCTCTGGGTCTGTAATGAAAGTCGAATGCCTCTAATTGAATATACTAAAATTGTAAATGGCACTGCTTCTCTTGTTGTGGCCATCAGCAGTATTAAATATTCAGAGATTTTTCTGTTAGAAACAATATGAACTATTAAACAGTAATATTGCTTCAATCTGTTGATTTCTGACAACTCTCCTTGAGTGAACATTTAGCAAGAAACTATGACTTGGTACCAATAATAGATAAAAAATTCCCTTCTCCTTGCAGTTAAAGACAAATGCATTACCTACTCAGGGTTTGTAAGAGCCTTGAAAGTCCTCGAAGATGCTTGAATTAAAAAATTAAAAACTCAAGGCCTTGAAAGTACTCGAATTTGAGGACTATGGCTTGATTTTTGCAATGCTTTTTCTTTAGCAGTTTTCAAATTGAAAATTACAATACCTTCATGGAGAAGCTGAGACATAGTATTGGTAAATAATTTTAAAATTGCTAATGCAAACCTTTCCAAAATTGGTCCTTCAGTTTTCTAAAACTTGGCCTTCAAAGTCATTGAAAAGTCCTTGAATTTCAACTTTTGGCATCTACAGGAACCTTCTCCTATATTTTAACATATTATTTAGACTGTTGTCTAGTACCATAACAACATTCATTACATTCCAGCAGACAAAAGTAAACACCTGTAGACTAATTCGTGACCGGCAATGATGAAATTGTGTGACGACAGTAACAATGGCAATATGGCAGTCCCCTCAAGATAACTCTAGATGTGCGATATTGAAAGCCCGAGTTCACGCAGATATGCGTCTAGTTATGCATTGTAAACACGAGTCAGGTAGCTCTTCGTGCACAATGCAGCTCATAGCAAGAAATCCAAGTTTGTATTTAGTTATATTTGGCTTGCGATAGGAGTTTGTTATTTTTATCACATCGGGTCTTATGAGGTAGAATGGTAGAGTTTTAACATATTAAACGCACCTCACAATCAGGACCCTCATCATCAAGTACCTCTAGGGGGACCGAAAACCGTACTTGTCACAACTTCAACAGGGGGGGTTACCTGTGCCAGAACCCCTTGCATCTGCGCCCATATATGCAACCGGCCTGGGTGCGGAAAGGAACATCCCGGGATCAGGTGCCCCAATTTCTATGGAACAGATAATGAGCCCTCCCCAAGGGTTGGGAGGTCAATCCCCCACCACCAGAGCACCCGTCACCGAGAAAAGTAGCTTTGGTGGTGCGGTCACTCCTGTCAACGTGGCTAACTTGTACCAGGCCTTATCCGATCGTCCTGAAAGGGAGTTGTCAACAAACTATGTTCAGAGCTGAGGGAGGAGGCTAGGATTGGCTATTCCGGTCCTAGATGCCCACGTTTGTCTAATAACTTGCCCACAGCTTATCTAAATCCTGAGGTGGTTACAAGGAATTTGGCTGATGAGGTTACAAAAGGGCCCTTTTCCTACACCCCTTTTGAAAATGTTCAGGTTTCACCGATTGGTCTTGTTCCCAAAAAACATTCGGACAAATTCCGAACAATCTTCCATTTATCCTTCCCAAAGTCTGGAACCTCTAGCATCAATTATTTTATCGAAAAGGATGATTTCTTCCTGCAATATATTACTATTAACAATGCCATTGCAGCAATTCAGAAATTGGGCCCAGGCTGCTACACGGGTAAAACAGACATCGAATCTGCTTTTCAGCTCTTTCCGGTCCACCGGATGACTGAGAACTATTGGGATGCTCTGGGGTGGGAGTTATTACTTTGACAAAGTGCTCCCATTCGGGCTTCGCTCTGCTCCATACATTTTTAATCAGCTCTCAGATGCCATTGAGTGGATTTTACTTAACAAATGTTCCATCTCCTTTGATTGCCTCATTATGGATGATTTCCTTATAGTGGAGCCACCCTGTCCTACTCATCCATTCGATTCCCTTTGTCAAGCTAGCCTGTCAAGTATAATCTTGACCTTTAAAAATTTGAATATCCCTATCTACGCTGCCAAATTACTCAGTTCATGGGTATCATACTGGATTCTGGGAAAATGGAGGCAAGGCTACCCGAGGATAAGTTGGAGAGGATCAGATCTGCTCTCTCTACTTTCCAATCTCAGCGGTCTACAAAACTGCAAGAACTTCAATCACTGATAGGCACTCTTAATTTTGCTTGCAAGGTAATTCCCCCAGGGCGACCCTTCCTACAACGAATAATTCACCTTACCAGAGGGGTTAAAAAACCCCACCATCATATAAACCTTACCAAAGGCTTCTACAAAGATATTGAAGTGTGGAAGATCTTTATTGACCAGTGGAATGGAATGGGACTATTTTTATCTCCTCTATGGAAAACCTCCGACGCCCTCTCTTTGTTTACTGATGCCTCTGGCTCCCTGGGCTATGGGAAATATTCCAGAAAAGATGGTTTCAGGGAAGGTGGCCGCCATGTCAACAACTAGGCCAGCGAGGCATCAGCATTCTTTGGCAAGAACTATATGCTATTAATGTTGCATGCCATTTGTGGGGGGCCCATTGGATATCCAAGCGCATTCTCTTCAACTGTGACAATCAGGGTGTAGTCAAGGTTATCAATTCTCGTAGATCCAAAGTTCCCCGGGTAATGGACTTAGTAAGGGACCTTACACTTTGCACCCTGCGGCATAATTTTTATTTTCGAGTAGTGCATGTCCCCGGGAGCAATAACAACATTGCAGACTCTCTTTCTCGATTCCAGATGGAACGCTTCCAGCTCGCACCTCAAGCCAATGCAACACCCTACCCCATCCCAGCCTATCGGTACAAGCTTCAGCAAAGGAAACTGAGCATTATCTGGGGATGTCCCTCGCCCAGAGCACCAAAAAAGACATATGGTTCTGGTATGCGGCAATTTTTCACTTTCTGTTCACAAATGTACGTCAGTTCACAACTTCCGATTAGCGAAGAGATCTTAATCAATTTCTCAGTCGCAATGGCTCGTTCTGTGCAATACAGCACTATCAAGAACTATTTGTCGGCGGTCAAAAATTACCATTCCAGCCATGGCTATGAGCTTCACTTATCTAATTTCCTTCGTCTCCAACTTATTCTTCGAGGCATTAAGTGTTTACAGGGGCACCAGTCTAAAGTACGCAGACCAATAACTTTACAACTGTTGAACTTTACAACTGTTGAACTGTAGGCAGCAATGACGCTTTCCTTTTTTGGCTTCTTGCGCATAGGTGAACTGACTTGCAATTCAACGTTTGACCCAAAGCACCATCTTACGAACAGAGACATAACGTTTATGCCAAGGAATTCACCTCAGTATATGCTGCTGTGATTAAAAGTGTCCAAAAACAGACCCTTTTAGAC